AGGATGGCAGTGTCAGTCTGTTGGTCGGGTCGGTCCACCACTTCGGTCCAGACTGAAATATCTTTTCACAACTATTTAGATAATGTCTTATACTACATAACTATTTAATGGATTGCCATGAACTTTTACATAGACATTCTTAGTTCCTAGACGATGTATCCTGACTTTGGTGAACACCTGACTTTTGACATTTGTTGTTTTTACAACTGTTAAATCAACTGGATTCTCATGGAATTTGTAACCCCCCCCCTTGGTTTATGACCAAATACCTGCAAAACTAATGATATCCCCATCAGCCTCAGCTGTACTTTGTGTTTTTGTGTTTAGTGCTAATTAATAAATGTCAGCATGCTAAAATCCTAAACTAAGCTGGTGAACATGGTAAACATTATACCTGCCTAACTCCAGCATGTTCAGCGTTGTTATTTTGAGCGTGTTAGCATGCTGATGTTGACATTTACCTCAAAGCACCACTGTGCCTAAGTAAAGCCTGACACAGCTGCTAGCACGGCTGTAGACTCTTAGTCTTGTTTAAATGGTAAATGGACTGCACTTACATAACTCTAACCACCACTAACCGTAGCAGACAAAGCACTACACAGTTTGCCTTTCATTCACCCATTCACACACACTGTTGGCAGCGCATCTGCCATGCAAGGCGCTGGCCATCAGGAGCAATTCAATGTCTTTGGACCAGAGTAACAGGGCATCAAACCACCAACCACTCCTGACTCACATGTGTTGTTGTTTTGTATTTTATTACTGCAAAATGTATGAAATATTTTTTGCTCCCCATGCCCACATGGAGGCAAAACACCATTAAATTCCTTATAGATACACTTTAAAGTCTGCAATGAATAACTGCACCCAACTCTACATGCTCCCAAGTGGCAAGTGACACACACAGAAGTGCAGCTCTCCTGCAGTGGGATGTCTTAAAAAATTACTGAAAATTGAATTTGTAAAGTCATAACAGAGCAAGGTTGCTATGCTAATGCACTGATATTACACATACAGCTAACTCATTTATATTCACGAGTATTGGGATTTGTTTCTTAAGCAAAATGTAAAAAAAAAAAAAAAAAACTACACAATATGTATAATGAACAACACCTCTCATGAATATTTTAAAATGAGTTTGTCATCTTTAACTGGTTGAGTGTGTGTATCCATAGCTACCAAAAAAAAAAAAAAACACATTATCAATGGATAACAAAAGTTGCATTTTCCACAGAATCACATATATTATTTATAATGTTCCATGAAGCTCTGCTGACACTGTGAACTTCAAAAACTCTTCAGATGGAAGACAGCCACTTTCATATACGCTATGAGGTGTATGCACACAGCATGTGAAGGTGAGAAAGATGCTTCATTATTCCCGCTTACAGTGACTGAGAGATTGATTTGAATGCGAGAGAGACTCAGATGTGGCAAATAAGGGCTGGACAATGAAGGCTGTCTCTGAGAGTAGGCTTGACAGTTTAGACCACAGAATATACGGAGGAAATTAGAGGGTTAACAGAGAGAAAGCTCCATGTGGGGGTGTGGAAAAAGAGAGTGTGAGAGAGAACATGAGCCAGATAGAGTAAATAGAAAGTAGCAGAGAGAAGAGACAGACCAAGTGGTGGAAGAGAGCAGATGGTGGGGTAATACTGCTCTGCTCTCATTACTTCGCCTTCCCCGACATTATTGGTCGGGAAATTGGTTGGGATATTACAGCGGACATAACAGCCTTTATCGGCAATTTTCCCCTGTATAATTCCCTTGGTTCTGCTCCTTCAAAGGCAGATGAAACGCTCACCGGATGAGGGTAGAGTCAGTACTGGAGAGAAGAAACCAACTCCACTGGCATGGACAGCATGCAGTTTATTTCAGCCAGCCTTGGTGAAATGCATACAAAATCAATATAGTAGACTTAAAATCCATGAGGGGTAAAATGCTTCCAATAAGTTCCCATCTGGCCATATTCTTTACCAGCCTGTTTGGTGCTGTAAATATAAATCCTATAGTGATCCGAAAGCCATCAGTCACCGGAGTGTTTTTCATTTCAGACCAAAGGAAGCCATATCTTTACTCTGTGTTTGCATCACAGAGCTTTATCTTAACTCCATCCTCTATGTCTACGAGCCATGTGGATAATTTGCTGGTAAACGCAAAGTGACCAATGACGGTCCCTCTCTTTTCTTTTCAAAACAATAAATCTAACAATAGATAATCTTCAAAATTCTCTGCACGGCTCCGCAAAGACACCCCAGACCTCTCCCTAAACAGTCCAGTGAATATGTATAATGTACAACTGCAATGAGTTTTTGAGGCAGGATGATAGGCTTGGCGAGTTCTTTCATCAGCAGATTGGTGCGACCAGAACAGTGCTGCCGGCCTAATTGGAATAATTTAACTGCTTACTTTGAAGTGTAAAATACGTGTGCTAGAGAAGAGGTTCCTGAAAGGTCAGTGCTAGAGGCGGTACACGTTGCTGCTTTGAGATGTAGAGTGGCCCATAGAGATGATATCATTATTTGGATTTCTCTTTGATTACTAGTGCAGGTTGTGGCAAAATCCTTTGCATTTTGGCCACTGATATTCAGATTAAACTGTTTGTGCTCACTTTGTTGATACTGAATTCTTTTAAAAAAGAACCCACTACATGATTTAAATGATTGAGACGTCCTGCCGTCCTGTCCACTGCCTTGATCATGTAATATTACCTTTTTATTGGTGTGTAAATCTAATTGTATCTCTACTGTAATATGGAAATAAATTCAAGACTTCATCTGACCTTTACAAATATGAAATGAGACTTGTGGATACAAAATAAGATTTGCAAATTCACACTCAGATGTGCAAATTTGTTCTGAGAAATGTAAATGCTTACCCAAGTGGCCGATCCATTTTGGTCTTCGCTGTGTCCAGGAATAGTTGCAGTGTTGTTTTGGCAACGTGAGTCCACTTGATGGATCCTCTTAGGGAAACATACATTAACAGAGAAGCTGGAGAGACCAAAGTAACTCAGAGCCCTCACCTGGTGGTGCCTCTGATTTCAGGTGCCATAGTACAAATCTCAGTGTATAAAATATGAAACCTGACCTAATTACAGTTATTTTCACGTTTTAAAATCTTAATTACAAATATTATATTTGCACAGTTGTACACAAAATGCAGTTGCTAATATCAGATTACAAATATTAAAGTATAAACTTGACAATGTTTACACACATTTGCAAATGACAGATTATACGTTTCCATTATTGTGATTCAGATTATAAATCCATGCTTCAGTTTATGCCTTTCAAACAAACTTAATCAAAATGATAAACTGCACTGCGACTGCAGCCAATACTATGACCACTATACGCTGCTGAAATTAATATAAATGATCATCAATTACTGAATAAAAGTTGCAACTACAGTTTGGCTCCATAAATAATGTTGTACAGTAGAAGATTTTCTCTATCAGTGATGGATGAGAACCTATAGTGTGCTTTGACCCATTACCACCTCACTGTCGCTGGCTGGCCAGCTTTGTTGTTACAGCTTTTTAGACTTCCACACACAGTGGCTGGGTGAACTAGCCACTTATTATGACATTGTTTCACATTAACAGTGTAGCCACTTCCTCTGTTAACAGCCGTGGCCTAAAGCAAATATTTTCATGTATGACATCATCTGGACACTTTGACCCGTGAATAACAATTTGCTTACAAGACATTTGGCAACACTGTCACTGTGGAAGACTGGACCCGAGATATTTTCACCATACAGCAGAAATTTCATGCGTTTCGGTGGCTTGTCACTTATTATTCATTATTTTCAGGTACTGGGTACGTTATTACAGTGAAAATGTTTGTGATGCGAGCTATTATAGACACAAGTTACTATTCCGTGGCTAAGAAATACAGTTTCCCCTGTGAGACTGCTTCTGTTGGTTAGTACAATACTGCAACTGTGATTATATGCAACCAAATAAAAAAATGTCATGACACCAGAGCACAAAACACACACAAAATAAACAAATATCTACTGTATGCGACAAATAAAATAAAATGGATATTTGTTACAAAATACCAATGAACCACAGTCAAATAGATACATATAACATGATGCAGACCAGTACAAATCCCCATGTGTGGTTTCAAAAAGCCAATTCCACACTGTCCTTCAGAAGGCATTGAAATGCTGGACACACTGCCGCAGAGATTCTCAAAGCGTTCTGTTGCTGCATGTCTGCAATACTGTTACAAAAGAGGACTGAATGCCATTTGTCACAGACTGATTCTCACCAGTACAATCTGCATTTCTGTGACTCATTAGACTTTCTCCCAATTATTTGTTCTTGTTTTGAACATTAGTCAGCCATCCACTACTTGACGACGCAGCTGTGGATATCACAAATGTTAAAGGGGCTATTTGCAAACTTTTCTGTTACCAAACGTGGTTTCTTGCCCGGAGAGGGTGATGGTGATTGTCACTTGACAAGAGCTTTGGCCATCGTTGTCTTAATAACAAAAGAGGTTATAATACGTCCTCTGAGCAGCGGTACATCTTCAGGGCAGATTGGAGGCTGCAGTGACTCGCTATTGGAAAGTGGAGAGACGGGCTGGAGTTAGCTAGGTAGCATGCTGACTTCAGTAGTAGATGCGATAGAGACAAGATTTAACATTGGTGTTGCTTTCCAGTGTTGGAGATTTAAGAATTAAGTTTGATGCTGAAATCACAATATCTAGACTGGTAAGAAAACAGCTGTTAATGCTAACGTTGGCTATGTAGCAAAAGCAAAACTTACAAATAGCTCCTTTAATGTTTCATAATGTGTTTGATACAAAAAAAAAGTCTTTGTTGTCCTGTAAAGTATCTGCTATTCACCACCTGTAGTGTCTGCTGCTATGCTGAGGCTGCTATGAACCTCTGTGTAGTTGTGGAAAGTGCTGACATCACCAGCGATGTTCCAGCCGAGACCATGTTTGTTTTTATTTGTGTTTCCTGATTAGGATGTAGAGCTGGGGCATTGTACCGGAGGAAAGGCAGCGGGGGTTCTGACTCACAGGCTCAAAGCGTTTTGGATTAAAATGCATTTTGTAGGTGAGGATGTTCATATATATTCATAAATATCATCACCTCTTACTTCAAACTCCTCTGGGTGTTTAGCTAAATGTTCTCAAAATCGCACAGATGTGTTGTTACTTGTTTGTTCTTACAACTTCTTCTGTATCAAGAATCAATCCTTCACCATCATCTAAGAACATTTGGTTGGTCTACTGCATCTTATAAAAACATGTAAATGTATCTGTGTTCACATTTTTACATCTTTGAAGTGGAGAGTAACATTTTGTGCCTCAGAAATTGAGTGAAACATTTCTCATTCATGTTTAAATGAAAGCAGAATCTGGCTTTAAACTCTTCATCAACTGTTTATGGTGCTTGATGGAAATTCATTTACATTACTTAGTAAAAAATTAATCAGCTGATGATGAAATACTCTGTCTGAGTGAATCTACTTGAGGCCTATACTCAAGGCTGTCTTGTACATTTGGTGCTCCACACTGTCAAATAGTCCAAAGATCATTCATCTTCAAAACATATAACTTCAAAGTGGACTAATAAGTTGTAAAAGTCAATGAACTTAAGATAAGTTTAATCTGCTTTACACACACACACACACACACACACACACACACATACACACACAAACACACACACACACACACACACACACACTCAGTCGTGTCTCCATGATGAGGCCATTACATTGACTTGCATTCATTTCCAAGAGACTTACTCTAACCTTTCCCATAACTACTACTCACCTAACCCTAACCATTACCCTAACCTTAAAAATGAGTCTGAAAATGAGCACTAGAGTTTTTATCTTGAATGAACTTATTTACATTAAGTTAATGAAAAAAAATAGTTTATTCCACTAAATTCCTGCATGATTTTTTACACTGTGTGTCTAATTTTGGTCATATTTTAAAGTTGATATATCTGGATTTAATGGAGCAAAGATGCATCTAATAATCTAAAATTGGGACAAAGAATTATGTTTTTCCTCAAATAAGAATTTCTGAAAGCATGCTGAAAAAATTACTTGCTCACAGTGCATATAAGCAACAGTTTTTCTACATGGCATTACCTTTCTCTGTGTCGAGATTCAGTTCAACTTTTTCATTTAGATTCCAAATTGTTTGCTTCAGTTGATGTTGCTCCTGCACTTCAAACCTGTTTATTCAGAATCCGTCTGAATGATTCTTCTTGTTTGCAGGAGAAAGATAATATGAAAAAATATCTGTAAACAAATTTCTGTTTGTATTCATACAAAGTTCTTCCCAGTAGCCTTGAGGTGCTGTGAAAAGTTTATGTAGGGCTGGTGGGGACAATATAAAGTGGTGCATGGAAATAGCTAGAATAGCTTTTCACCTCAGCGCTAAAACACATGAAACACACCTGCATGGGAAATAAATTCTGTCATAAATATGTAATGCAGAACAATTGTTTTTCAGTCTTATATCAAACAATTATTAGAAAATCCCAGGATTGATGTTTAATGGGAAACCAATTCAAGTGAAAAGTTTGAAATTGTTGCGGAGGAAGTGAATGAAGTTGTCAGTTGTAGATTGTAGTTCACAGCATGCAGAGATTAAAAAAAAAATGTACATCTTCCACAGAGGACATGGTTAAAATGTTGGCTGTGTTGACATATGATTTAAAACTGGTCATAAAAAGATATAAGGTATGTCTGGCACTCAGCTTCAGAAAGCACACAGACACACTGTGAAGTCAGGACAGAGCCAGACAGGATAACACACAGGCACACTCATAAAATCCCACCTCCTACCACATCCCACCGTTTAGTCTGACCACACTGTCTGTCAGGCAGTTCCATGGATAGGAGCTGTTTTATCTGTCTGACATTTGCAATGACTTTTAGATAAAAAATGTTCTCTGACACTTAATGGCTGAAAAATATCAGCAGATTTGACTGAAATGAGCACATCACAAAATATTTACCATGTAGGGAATTTTCTGTATCCAATAGAGAGCTGGCTTTTAGACTCCATCTGCTTTAAGACAGTTTGTCTTCCCGGAGCAGCAGTGTCAGAAACAAAAGCGATGAGCACAACTGTCAAATAGATATCATGAGTCAGATTGAACTTTTTGAAGCTAATACTTCATCTCTGATGGATTGCCTGGAATAACTTTTAGGTGTCTTGAAAAAGGGGAAAATAGAACACTGAAGAGCAATTTCAGCAATTTTGTCCATTCCAACACAACCCTTGTAGCCATATTTAGTGTCAGTATATTTTAGTGTCAACCCCTCACCTAAAGTTATCTTTGGCATCAATCAACTTCACTATACCAATTTTTGTTCTTTCTTGCTTTTCTGTTTCCTTCTCCTTCATTTTCATCAGCCAGCCTGTCAGTCATGTATCTGTTCAATAATTCAGAACTACATTTTTCTTGCTTCATCTGATAGAGAGAATCCGCGGCCTATTGGAGCTGCGGAAACTGCCTCAACCTGAGACTGGGCCGTGAAATTGGAGTGCCAGGCAGGCATTAACCTGGCTGGGTATGTACATATTAATATGCTCATTATCTGCAGCACGAAGGGACATGTGGTCTGTGGCACACCGGTGACATTCAAGAGGACACAATACAAAGGCACATGTGTTTGCACTGGGAAGTATGTGTGCAACCACACAGTGAGTATATGCACAGAAGCTCTCCATCTTTAGCCTGCACCACACACACACACACACACACACACACACACACACACACACACACACTCACACACACAAAGCGCACATGACCCAGTCCCCTCTCATACACCCACGCTCATTTTCACCATTTTGTGTTAATTCCCTCCACAGAAGGTGTAGGACAGCATTATTAATCATGTGCAGCTTCTGACTAAAAGCCAGCCAAACAACCCCAGGAAACAAACAGTAACTTGTTTACGCAGAAAATTAATTCTCTGTCATGCACATCTTGTTTAAGAATTAAAGAAATTAGCCTGGGGTGAAGACATATCCATGGTGTGCGTTCGACCTTGTTCTCTGCCTGGCTGTGCAGGGCTATATTAGGTTGCTGTAACAGACCAAAGACAAAACGAATGTGCAGTATCACCAAAGGATAGGAAATATTTGGAGGACACAGTGGAGGGTGTAATGGCAAACAGTGGACTAAAACAAACAACAATCAAACACAACAGCTATTTCATGAATCACCTTTTATTCTTTTTAAAATACTGTTTTTATGCTGTTTGTGTTTTTGCAATGCTTGAGTTTTGTGGGTTATCGATGCAGATTTGTTTTTTAGAGTTGCATATAATTTCAGCCTGTGGCAAAGCATTCATCAATAAATCTTTTTTGTTTCAGCAGTTTATCTTACCTTCTTGAGTTATCAGCTGCCCCTTTACCCCTGTGATCTTACGCTTAATGATTAACTCCTGACTGGAGGTTTGACGTACCTGGGCCCTGCCTGCTGTTTGGATCACCACAGTGAAGAATCATGGGAGTTTTCTGGTTAGAGAGCACTTAGTTCATTCGTGCTTTATTCCCCCTATCATGAAACACCACTCATTGTGTGCTGGGGTTACATAAGTACACACTGAAGGCTTGTGGATTAGCATAATGACCATCTGCAGACTTTAAAAGCTGTAATCAAGTTCCTCAATGAATCTATAAATGCTAATTAGACTCATTGAAGACTTCATGTTCAAAAAAGAAAAACACATTTTAATGTGCCTTCTAGCACAGTTTCACTGTAGAGTGAGCTGAACAAATGAATCTGCAGAGGACAAAGACTTACTGAGACTGAAAGACTCCTCTTTCCCCCTTTTTCTTGTATTGTATTTGTTTCTTTGGCAAAAAATATTACTCTATAGAGTGTTATGGAGGACTCTTTTGATTATGTCCATTTAAAGATCTGTGTGTCTATTCTCAGAGCAGACATAAGCACAATTTCTTATAGCCTGACTCATTGTCCAGTCTATCAAACGTACTCCCAGTAGACTTGAGAAACATTAGCGCAGCTCACTCAGCTTGATACTACAGACGGCAATATAGGAGGGATGAGACGTAAGTGGCATCTACACACAGTCTAAAAGCATTCAAACCATCAATCGTATAAAATTAAAGGCTGATATACATTTAATGCAAGAAACTCAGAACTACAACATCTCAAATTTGAACAATTTGATGAAATGTTTTCATCAACATACAACCGTAAACAAAGAGGGGTTTCAATTTTAAGCAATAAAAACATTCCATTTGTCCACAGCACAGCTTGTATTTATTTGGACAGAAGGTTCATCATCATTAATGCTGTTAACCACACAACATTTACACTCACCAACATATACCACCCCAAACATTATAACTTTTTCTCCTTACTGTGTGACTTCAACAAATATTCTAATAGCTGGAGACCTCAATACTGTCATTAACCCCACAATTAAATGCTAAAGTACCTTCAGTATCTCAAGAAACTGGCACTCCACTGAAATTAGAAAACAGGATATGAATGATTATGGATTTGGCGATAGGAGAAGAATGAGAGAACCCAATATTCATATTTCCTCTCCCTCTATCAGTCTCCCTCCAGAATTGACCTTTGTCTCGTAAGCAAGTCACCCAACATATCCTAGAAAACACAATTCATTCGATCATCATCAGCAATCACACTCATGTTCTCCTAAGCCTCTGACAAGATGGCACTTCAGTACATCACTTTTAGAGAATCCAGATTTCAACTCACTGATCAAAAGAGAGTAGTCATCTTTCCTGGAGATGAACAACTCAACAGAAATTTCACCCTCACTGTTTTGGGAAACAGGCAAAGCAGTAATGAGAGGTAAAATCATATCATATTCATCACACAAGAAAAAGCAGCAACAAGAACTGTAAAACACTGTAAAGCAAATGATTAAACATCTAACAATCCAATATACCAATAACCCCAGTGAACAAATGCAAACCAACTTTCATAGCTCGACTTCAAAGTATCATATACTTAAAACACAATTCCTTTTTTAACGCAAAAAAGAGAAAGCAATTATCCTGTCCATACTTAATTCTACAGGTACTATTGCCCAAAAAGTATACGAATGATGTCTTTCAAACATTTTACAGCAAATTTGTACTCCTCAGATCACCTACCCCTACAATCAAACACGGATGACTTTCTAAAGAACCTGGACTTACCAACACTATCTTGAAACAAACATTTTAGATGCTCCCCTAACCTCTGAAGAACTCAATAAAGTCCTGAATAAAATGCCCACTAATAAATCACCTGGACCAGATGGACTTCCGGCTGAATCCTATGGACACTTAAAACCTAATAAAGACCCAACCCACACTTCTAGCTACCGTCCTCTCTCACTAATAAATACTGACTTAAAAATTATTACTAAAGCCCTAGCAACCAGAACAGAAACAGTCATCTCTAATCCACCCTGACAGACATGCTTCAGATAAACAACCATAATTGTATCATTAGATCCTGAAAAAGAATGTGATAAAGTAAACTGGACTTTTCTATTTTGTACCCTGCACAAGTTTGGTTTTGGGGAGTTGTTCATCCATTTGATAAGAACACTGTACACTTCCCCTGGGGCCACAATATTCACTGAGCTTCACACTTCATCAGGCAACCAGACAACGATGCCCAGTCTCACCATCCCTATTTGCCATCTTTATCGAACCACTTTCAGAAGCATAACAACAAAGCAATGAAATTGAAGGAATTCAGGGTGGCAATTCATAAAATGAGTCTTTATGCTGATGATCTATTAGTATACTTACAGAACTCTTATATGTCACCCCCAGAAATTCCCAACATCATTAACAACTGCTCCACAAATTCACACTACACAATAAACTGGAATAAATTAGCTATACTACCACTGTCTGAAGATGCTTGGGATTCTGCAGCCCAAGATTCCCCCACTTCACATTGGCAACATAAAATATTTAAACATTAATATTTCTCCTAGGCTTTCAGAACTCTTCGACCTCAATTAAACCCCTTTGCTAAAAAAGAAAAAAAAATTAGAAATTGACTTCAAACGCTGGACCAAGCTGACACTCAATGGGAGAATTACTACAGTAAATATGAGAACCTTACCTCAGATTAATTATTACTCACCCAATTTTACTGAAAAAAACAAAAAAACAAAAAACAGAATCTTACTCTCAACATTACAAAATGGAAAATCACAAGGAGGCCTATAAGCACCAAACTTCATCCACTACTTTTTGGTTAATTAACTAAATGGACCTGAAAGCACGATGACAATAAACCATGGCTAGAACAAAATCAATATAAAACCAATTCAGTTGCAGGCCGTCCTTTCTGCCCAGGTCCCTTTAAAAACCATTTCTGTCCAACATCCAACAACTGTTTTTCTCTTTGGTTCTTTCTCTCCTACACAGTCATGGATACCAACTATGCCCAAGTCTCTGTTCAATGCAAGGCTTGTCCCACTGTAGTATTGTATGTGTGTGATGTCATGTAATGTCTTTATGTTAAATCGCTGATTCTATGTTTGTCTTGCTTCACCAAAGAATTCAAGGATAGGAGGGATGAGACAAAGAACATGATGCCAGCCTAAGGTGCTGGTGAGTAAAGGCATTTAGCCACATGCATGTAGGACAACCTGAGGCGTGGTTGTAGGTGGAGTGCATTTCCCACTTTGTCAGCAAGTTGCATGAAACTAATTTGAGATACTCCACATTATACAGCATAAGTACATGTTTTACATGAAATATGCATGATACAAAATAATGTATGAAATTTTAAGTATACACATTATTAATGTCCTATATATAATGTCAACATAATATGGTGCAGTGGGTGATAACATAGTTTGCTGCACCAGTGGCTTCTAGCCATTGCTGCTATCATATTTTGACCTTTACTGTTACAAACAAAAGGCTGTAAAAGGCACAGTACATTTGTGGGAAAAGATATCCAGACATATGATCCCTTGACATTATTGTGTACTTGAGTGACCATAAGAGTGAAGTAGTGTCGATAGAATTTGCTTTAAAAAAGAAAAAAGGAAAAGGCTTGCAATTAAAGAATGGGAGATCTCTTGTTCAGTGTTCAGAACATTTGTAGAAAAATAAAATGAGAAAATGACAAAGAAAATGAACTCAGTGTCTCAGTGTTAATTACATTTTTACCAGCTGAGTAAGGCTTGATGAATTAAAGTAAGAATTAAAACACCAATAATTATTTAGGACATTAAAGTAATGTGTACAGTCTTATGATTGTTGAATAGTGTGTTCCAATAAATGCATATTAAACAATTTTTTTTTTTTAAAAATACTCCCCTATTGTGTTGCTGTGTGGCTGATTGTAAGTTCACCTATATTATTATTTCAACAAATCTCCACATGTTCCCATTTTCTTATATAATTGATCACATAACCTATAGTGTATGTACATATATCCATACATTCAATTTATTAATTTTCTTTTATTATTTTAATTTTTAATTTTACTCTATTTTAGATTTAACTATAGAGGTTCAAGGGAAAAGAAAAAAAATGTGCAGCAGCTGAACTTCTGTTATTTTGTGGTCACAAGCACACCTGTGGAACAGTGGATTAGAAGTAAACCATGACTGATGTGATGGGTCCGACTTCAATCATCTGTTCAAATGGTCTGTTTTCATTCTGTTTTAAATAGGAAGCTGCTTCTCATAGTTCAGCAGAAGTGACAGAACAGCACCATAAACTGGTGAGGGCAGATGGGCAGATCTGCTTGGTAGGAGATTATACATTTGCATAACATGTTGCTTTGGTCCTATAAGAACTGCAATTTAATGTAAACCTGCAACAAGCCGGGCGAAAGCTGATGTGGGACATTTTGGCTGTGACAGGAAGGCAAACATCCACCAGGCCCTGATATTTACTGTTTAGAGGATGAAATGTCAAGTGGGTGATTGATCAGGGCTAAAAATAACCCTTTGTCTGGTTATGTGTTTAAAATCTGAACATGAATCTTAGACCACAGACCTTGTTGGTTTAATTATATTTAGAGGGCTTAAAGCAAGGAAAATTTCTTTGCCCAAAATGTGTTGGGGGTTACAGTTGGATGACAGTTGTGTCGCATTTTGTGACCAGTTTCAGAAAGACAAGAACAACAAATCTAATCGCTTCTAAATTTGAAACCTCACCTTAACTTGAAAAGTCCAAATGGAAGAAAAATGCATCATCTACTCACCCATTCCTCAGTCGGAAACCATCATCTGGTATTTGTATCCAAGTCCAAGCACAACTTTCAAAGCCTTAAATAATAGCCTATTCAATACATCTATCTTTCAAACGTTTCAGTGCTTGTTCCTCCGTTGTTCTCTAAACAGCGTACCTATGTGGCATAATAGGCCTAGGCTACTGTTGCCAAATTAGTCCAAAAGATTACGATGATGATATTAAAACAAAACAAATAGATTATTATATATATATATATATATATATATATATATATATATAGCCATATTCTCGCTAAGCAACAGAAAAGTAGCAAGAATATTTTCAAAACTTTTGAATCTAAAACAAGTTCAATCTAAGAATTTAATGTTGCTTTATTTTAAGTAAAAAATAGATAAAAAATCAATAATACAAACCAAAAACCCAAAAGAAGCAGTTTTCTGTAAAAAATTAGTCAAAAGAATCTTTAACAAGCCTAAAGGATTTTTTAATATATAAACCCAAATATTAAAGTTTATATGTAATTGTAATTTAGGCACTGCGAAATAAGTAAGGCAAAGGCCACATCATTCCCAGTGACACATGATGAAACAGACAGTTAGACACAGATAGATCACAAACCACATAACAAGCAACAGCAACGACAAAAAATTAAACCAGGCCAGGCAGTCCTAGTTTAGCAGTGTCGAAGCCTGCATTAGTTAGTCAGAAACTGGAAGCATTGACTCATCATCACTTCCTGTCATATTGATGACATGCAATATTATAAATCTATCTTGAGGTGGAATTTTCCTTCAAAAGTAAGACACGTCATGATTTTCATAATGTTTTAACAAACAGATTGACATAATCTGAAATAATTACATTTGTTTGAGGACGCCCGTACAGTAATTCCTTAAGTTGGCAGTGTCATACTTAATCTGATTATATCAAAATCACTCTGTCTGTTTACATTGCCCATTCATTTAGTGATACCAAACTCATTTTGTCTATTGCCATTGTAATGTACAAGCATGAATATGCATGAAGGACAGTTTAATACAGTAATTTCTTCTGACGGTACACTAATGCCTGTCAGTGGCAATGCTGAGAAATGATACTGATGGGATATGTTTAAACAGCCACCCCACCCTCAGCACACAGGCCTCAAGACTATCTCTAATAATGAATATTTCATCCCAACAGATAACACAAACATTCAGTTCAGACATGAAGCAGTCAACATTTTCTAAAAAACCTCCAGGAGACAGTACGCTATGGGCCCATCCAAACTTTTAAGACTTCTTGGCACATGCACACACACATACCCGTAAAAAAAAAAAAACGCCCTTGTATCGGCTGCCCTGAGCCACCCTCGCACTAAAACCACTTGTTTACTCAGTGATCCCATGTTGGCTTCCAGACCACAGTGACCTGGGAGCAGGGTAACTTTCTGTGGCCTTGCCTGCCTCATAACCACTGTCCTTGGCTGAAGATCAAGGCTGTCTGAGTTTGGTTAAAACACAACCAGTGAGAAACAAGGACCCAAACAATGTAAGAGGAAGAAAGTGAAACAGGCAGCTGCAGAAGATGCTATTGACAGCACAAATGACATACAAAAAAACCCATATCTGTAAATGTGTTCCACTCCCAAAAATTGCCCACTCTATTACTTCTAATGAATAATAGAGAACACTAATGTTATTTATTGGTGCACTATAAAAAAAATATCCCAAGAGATATTATGTGTTTTATCATTTTTCATCTTATTGTCTTCCATTGGTTTTCTTTTTATTAAGTATGAAGTAGGAGTAGTGATTCAGGTGTTCAGTGCAAAACTGATTAGGTGTGGGATGATAAATATTGTGAGCAAAAGCAGAGTCAGCAGAGCACATATATTGTACGAGTTAGCATAAGGTTTTGTTTATATTTCTCAAGAGGAAGGTGGAAGATCGATGGACTGATGGTGCAAGGGGAACTGCAGAGCCAGCCCTGATATTGCAACCACAAATACCTATTGACAGTTGCCCGAGGTGACCCAAAGGTCACCAGGAAAAATATCGATTATACTCGAACTCAAGCCTAATTGGTTGGTATTGGGAAACTTGGAGGATGCATGGAGAAAGATTGTGCGGGATAGCTGTAAAATGGGGACACAAATGGGGAGGAATTATTTACACATTGTACTGTGAGGGGCAGGCTTCCATAAACCACACAGGTAATCCAGCCATAGATCTGTTTCAGGAAACAATTCAAACAATACACCATTCACCAGGTGAGAATTTACACTAACACTGAAAAAGTCTCAAATGTATTGCACCATTGTAGCATTAAACAACTTTCAGGGCACTGTGGTGTAAACAGGTTCCCCACCTGACACGCTGCAGCCTCATCAACAGGGACAGGGCTCACCTCAGCCATCAATAGGCAATTATTCTAATGCAATTAAACATGACTCTTCCTCTCCTCTTCCAATCAATACAGATCATTTCCTCTAATCACAGGAAACGTGTCATCAAGGTTCAGCGGGGGTGTGACTCCTGTAATTAAGCCTCAACACTCCTCATCGTGCTTATGAAAACCACCGAGCAAACAGGCCACTCGCCTCCACTCCTTAACCTCATCCTTCCTTGGCAGCATCCGGTGCTGTCTAATTATGGGCTTCCAGGATGAAAAGTCATGGCCAAACACAACATATCCCACAAGCAGGAGAACCACCATCACACACGCACACACACACACACACACACACACACACACACACACACACACACATACACACACACAAACATGCAATGTTAATGTGTAAGGATGTAATGAAAGGAGAAATGTCAGCCTGTTGTTCACTGGACAAGTTAAGCTTTGTGTATGAGTGTTTTCTTATATTTGTGTGTCTGCCATGTCTTTTTATGTTTGGACCCATGGCCAACGCCCTGTAAGCGAGTGGGAGCAGAGCAGTGACAGGATGTGGCCCACGAGTGACACAGCAGTAGGACTAGAGCCATGCCAGACTCTTGTGTAACAAGCAGCCTGTTAAATCAGCCAGAGCCAAGAGGAGGAAGTGAAGGCCAGAGGCTGCCCTGTTGCAGACATATCCTGCATGTACAATTAAATCTGTGGAGAGGATTGCCACATCATCATACTAGCTGTCTCTTGACTGGTCTGATTACCCAAAACATGTCATGCTAACCTGGCAGTGTGGGCAAAACCATTACCAGGAAATCTTATCCCAACAAGAGGCAGGGCATAGAGTACAAAGTAACCGCGTATGGTCAATGTGAGAAATTGAGGACATAGTTGAAAACTGTTGTGGAACAGCTGTAAACAACTGACATCATTGCATCGTATTTGCGTTCTGCCTGGCATCAGTAATTTTCAGCCCTTTTTCTGTTTTCTTCTCTACTACTCTCTGTGTTCACATATACAGTATCTTAATGTAGCTTAATTGTCAATAAAACTGTCCTCATTGACATGTTTTTCTGTTTCTGTTGTCAGACAATGGAACAAGTTTGGAATTTTGACTGAAACACAGCCCATTAAGACTGCATGTTAACCAGCAATCACTTCCGAGCCGTTTCCAAGCTGCTGCTCTGCACTGCCAAAATCCTGATTTTATAACCACAACGTCGTCTGACCAAATCAGCAATCATACAAATTAAAGACGAAGATTGTGCTGTGATTTCAGCTAAATTTACTTATAAAATGATCACTCAGAGAGAAAGCAAAGTGTCTAAAACAGCACACAGCCTCTGGGTAAGAAACTGCTGCTCCACCTCTCTGCCACTCACTGAACAGAGCAGACACAGAGGGGTGTACACAAAAAGTGTCTAAATTTAGCTACAAATGTGTTAATTTGGCAACACTGCAGGCTGTAAACGCCTCCATAGGAGAAACTGTTTGTTCCAGTTCATTTTGAAAGAGTCCAATGGTATAACCTCATGACTCAGTCATGTGGCATTCGGCTGACCAATGGTGTGACTTGATCACTCAACTCTATCATTCAGTCAGTCAGTCAGTCATGGACATTCGTGTTAATAGGGCTAGCCCTGCTGTTGCAGTTCAGCCAAAAGTACAGTGTGTAACATACAGTACGATATACAGGTATGTACTGCATCTGTTTCTATAAGAATAAGATATAAAAGAAGTCAAGATATCTCAAAAACACTGCCCAGATTGCTGTGCAGTTATGCAGGTTATTCATTGTCCCCAAAAAATTATTCCTGTTAATTTTTGTAACTACTATCAGCTCAAAATGGTTGATTGACAAGTTAGTTTAAAGCTAATAGCTGAATTTTCAGGTCCCCAGAGGATGGCTCCTGATGTTTTTAGTGACCACCATAACCTTTTCAGAACAATCAGTCCAAAGTTTCCACTTGCACACAATGAAAATCTAAATTTAAAAGTCAGAATATCATGAAGTTGGATCTCCATTTTTTTAGTACCAGTTTCAGGAAAAAGTTTACATTTTGTCCCTGTAATAGGTTTTAAGATATAATATGATAACAAAACCATCGGAATGTGTGGTACTTTGCCAATTTTTAGAGCAAAATGTTTGTTTTGGATTTCCCAGAACTATCATGTTTGTGGGATTTCTAAAGGTCCTCCATATTAAACTATAAAACAGTGGTCTCCTGTGTTAAAGTCCAATGTTTTCTTGACCTTCCCATCCACCCTGTCCATTTGGGGCACTTGCACTTCCTTTTGGGAGGACAGTCTTCTGTATTTTTTACTAGTGTCTTCTGTAGGAGACTCTAGTAAAATATACAAAGTGCTGCAATATTTTAGTTTCTCTGGCCCTGTGCCTTAAATTCAGTACTGCTACCTTATGTATTTGACCTAATTGACCTAGGATTGAGCCATGGTACCAGTCTCTGGAACTGCACACTGTATGCTGCACTGGTACATTAATTACCTGTATCCCACATGGACATTGATTTGACATTGATTTGCTTATTGGCCATTGGGGGCAATTTATAATTTTACTCTATGTACTGGATGTTATTTCCACAGCATCCAAAACCAAGGCAGGAATACTGTGACTCTAAGACTTTTGTATATGGCCAGCTAAAGGCAATATCCAAAACATGCATTATTGGAAGTGACACCTCGCGAACAATATCATCATTATTCACTCATGCGCATTACTTTTGTTTGGTTGAGCAGTGATCTAGCTTCAGTCCTGCTGGAGGAGATACAGCCCATGATCGCCCTCTGAGGCATCATATTCTGACATCCAGAGAGCTAATATGACAGCATATTACCACTGCAACCAATAACCTTGCTGAAAAATAAGATTCTGTTCTGCTACAGTGCGTGGTCACAGGCCTGTCCTCTCCCACTGTTAGGGTATTGTTGTCATACCTTTGGACAAGGTGCTAATTTAACCTTACGAGCCACTGAATGTGATCTTCAGCGGTTGTTATTCTCATGTTAACAACATGCATTGTGAATGAGGAGCTGGAGGTGCAACAATAATAAATCTCCTTTCTCCTTCTTTCTGAAGTGCAAAGTCATTAGGTTCCTGTGATAAGCGCGTCGACCAATAAGTTAAGTGGAAATTGAAAACATATTCTTTTTACCTCATGTTCATTTGCAAGCTGCTTAATTTAGAGCACAAGTTGTCTGCTCTGGCTGGACTCACCAACCCTTTGTTGTACCACAAGACCACAACCACACAAACATGCACATGCATGCACATACACACTCATACTAAGTACTACTACTAGAAGATAAAATCTGACCCTCGATAGATTGACAGTGGCTTATCTCTGTCCTTCTCACCGCGTTCAGAACAAACGCTGCACTTGAACCAATTAGCAGAGTCGCCCACTCAGTCATTAGTCTGCTCCTCTTCCAGGTGTGTCAGCGTCTGATGTCAATGGCAAAGATGAATGCTTTTGTTGGCAATTACTCAGTTAATAGACCCAACAGTGAGAGTTCAAGATGTTTGATATTTTGATGTTTGAAGATGGTTTTAATCAGTTATCGATTAAGTTTGTTGGAGGTGTACTAAATGTTTTATTCTAACTGTAAATATAGTGCCAGTCAGCAAACAGTGTAAACACAGTTATTGTGCAGTTGCTCTTATACAATTTCTAATTTCTAATTCAATATCTAATTCACAAAAGCAAGAAAAAAAGAAAACATATTCAACAGCTTTAAGACAACTCAATATCTTCAGGGTGGTGGTCAGGTGGATAACAGGTGTACAAAGCACACTGGACACTGGAGTAGTGATTCACATTCATACTAATGAAGTGTTGTAAGTGCCTAAACAGAACCATAAAAAGTTTAATAATTCTGTAATTGCTACCAGCAGTTATTGATGACTAATACAAGAGCAGATATTTTGACGGAAAACAAATGAAATACATTGGCAGTGAACATTTTGCCATTTGCCAAATCTATACATTAACAAGATTTCCACATTACATTAAGATAAACTATAATCTGGGTGACAGGGTGTCTCCTTCAAAATGCATTTGTTGCTTCTAATCAGTTGTATATAAACATACTTTCAAAGAGAAGTAAGAGAAGCTGTCTTGTTACTAAAAGGTGCTGCACATGCAATAGCCAATATGCTTGTCAACAACTGTGTAGCTTGGTCAGCTGTCCTTAAAAGCGAGTGGCTCAGTGAAGAAAACTCCTCCAGGCATTTTGAAGGCATCAGCCTAAATCACAGACAGAGACAGCAGAAGAGAGTCCATCCCTTAGATTCATGTATTGCTTATGTATGCAATGCTTCTGCCTTCACAGAATGTGTTGGATCAAGAACAAAATTAAAAACTAAGGAGGCACTCCAAAGTAAAGTGTTGACAGCAGATGTGTTGGCTTTGTTTTACTTTTGGTATCCTTGGCTCTTAAGCAATCTCTCAGTAGGATTAGTAAACATGAGTGCACTCTGTGCTGCTCACTAATGTCAAGTTACATCTTTTCTTCACCACCATTTGTCCGACCAACAGGGGACTGGAGCATATTCCAGCATGTCCTTGTTGCAGACAGGGTAACACAACGTCACCAGTCTATTCTTCAGACAGCAGAAAAAGAAACACACAAAGAGAAAACCAAGCAAACTGCATAGAGAATTAGGATTGTCATGTCATGTATGTCTTTGCATATAAAATGACACATTTGTTTTCATCATCCATCATCCTGGAAAACGAGCTTATTTGATCTGAGTGAAGTGAAAAAGACAGACATCAATCATCTGGCCTTTGATGGTGGTATATGAAGTGGGACCTTGGGTGACAAGAAGATGTCAACTACTTTGTCAGTGGATGACGGACCACCCGAGCACTCTGATGATAGATAGGCCAGTAGCTGCTGTTAACACTGTCATGTCTCTTGTAGAAAAAGTCAGTTCATACACACACACACACACACACTCACACAAACATTTGATTACACGAAGCTCATACCACCATCTTTTCTGTGTTTTTCAAGGTCACACCCTACCATCCCCTAATTTAAAATCCCAGAGCTCAGTTTTACTCTTTGAGTCTCTGAGATAAAGAGATCAACACAGCGGGACCACTGTACCACTGTGCATGTCGCCAGTAGACTCATTATTCTAATTCTGTGTCATGCTGTGATTGGCGGAGGGTCCAAATGAAAGACTAATACAATCCATGCGCCACAGTGATGCTTTACATTGAAATTCATCTTACACGTTGAAAAGCATATAGCCTGTAACATTAATGTGTTCGGCACATTCCATTTGACATTATTGTGCAGTGACTGAAACTGTAAGCATGTAATGAAGTCAAATGTAAAGTCACAGATTTAAATCACCACACACACACACACTCACACAGGTTGAATGAAGGAAAACCAGTCATCTTAAAGAAAAAAGTAAGTGGGAGAAGTTGGTTCAGATTAAAACTGGGTCTGAGCAAAAGCAAATTTCACTGAGTTAGTAGGTGGAATTATTTGGGCGTAAAGCACAGACACCTACAGTCAGTGATGGATCCTTTTCACACAATGTCCCTCTCATGTCCCCAGAGAAGTCCATTTTCAGCTTGTTCTCAAGTCAAGTGAATAAATGTGTCATTACTCACCACTCCCCCTCACACACGCTCTTTCTCCTTCTCTGTCACTAGTTCAGACTCACACAGCCACACCCTCCTTTCTTTCAACATGCCGACATTGCCCAATGACAAGCCATTTGTCAAAACACCATTTTTATTGCTATTACCCGCTCACATTATTCTCCAATTATAACTTCTATACTTGTGCCATTTGCACAGCCATTTATCCCTCAGTTTAGAGTTAGCTGTTAACAAATCATCAGGCTCATAAAACTGCCTAACAGAGCTTGATGTGAGTGAGCTTATGGCCTTTTATGGAA